ATAGATAATATCACTTATTTCACAATGGAAGTTTAGAAAATTAATTATATCATCACAAATACAATTTTTTTTTAAAATTATTTACTTATTAGCATCATAAATTTACTTACACAAGTTTGTAGTACACCTCACACTCCTTCAAAATCTGGATTATTTAAATTATTTTTCCCTAGATTTTAATAATGAATTATTATGATGTTGGACCCATTGGCTATCTGAATTTATGTGGACATACAATACAACTACTTAGAGTTTAGGTGTTGGGTGAATTATTCAAGGCCCTTTTCCTTGAACATTACCTAATTGAAGCTAATTTCCAAAAAAAGTGACCATTTTGATAAAAGGACAAAAATGTGACTAAGAAAGTCACATATATGGAAAACATGATGTCACTATTTTTTATGTCAATGCAAGATTTTCATGTCACTATTATACGTCACTATCAAATTTTTATGTCACTTTTGAATGTCACTATAACTACCGGAAAATTTTCTGGCAACCTTTTCCTGCAACTATGCACCACCACCAACGCCCCCGTCAACCATATTTTTCATGTCACTGCGGTTTTTCGTGTCACTATGACATGTCAACAATCCGACCCCCATACCCAGCCCCGGCAACCATCACCAATAATGGCCGCCACCTAATCGTGACATCAGCCCCCCCAGCCCACCAGGCTCCTCCCCAACCCCCAACCCCCTACCCTGCCTGCTCAGCCCCTTCCCCAACCTCTATCGCTCTTTGGCAACTCACTTTTGCGCCAACATCCCCCTTCCCCCTCAGCTTTGAATCTAGGGTTTCATGATGATTTGGGGGTTCGATTTTGCAATTCGAAACCCTAGAAATTAGATGCGAAGAAGAAAGATGAAGACGTGCATTGAGAGAAAGGTCTTCTTCTTTGTTGCAACAGGGGAGAGCTGCACGATTCATCAACAAAGAGCGTGTGACACCGCACCCGAACGTCCTTGAAAATTCGATTTAAAAATTCAAAAGTGATGTATTGAATTTCCGATTTCAAAGCAATGGAAGAAACGATTAATATTTTACGAAGTACGCGATTGAATATTGTATTGTTCAAACCCGTATTCTTTTATAATTTTCATCATGTAAATTATTGGGATGATCCTACACATATTGGAGATCAATAATGTGATTTAGGAAGTTGACTTGTTCTAAATAAATTAGGATGAGTGCAAAAAGACATCTTTTGACAAAGATAAAACAATAGGACCCATTTCCCCCATTTTTGGAAGTATTGGTAGATAATTTGGACCCCAAATTAATTGGGATCAATTGGGAACCACTCCACATGATTATAGTACCTTCAAAACAAGAAAAATAAGTGGGGAGACTTACCTTGGCCGCACAAGCTGGAGGAGGGCTGCACAAGACTTGATTGGAATCAACCTTGAGACCCACCTTGTCTATTTCCGCACAAATCATGGGTGTGTTTTGTCTCCCTTCATTTTGAGAGTTGTACTCGTCCAAATGAGGTGTATAAGGTGTCCTTGGATAGCCTTTGAAGTGTAGTTTCATAATTGAGTGGCCTTTGTTCGAGTAGAGAGAGCAATCATCCAAAAATCGATCTGGAACGAGCAGTGGTCTGTGAACTCGAGCTGTGGGAGTGCTGAGACTGTTTGGTCGATATCTCGAGTTTTACAAATCCAATTAAGGCGTGTGAGATACCCACAGAAAGCTCTCAAGACGAGGAATCCGTGAAGGTCTGGTTTGCAGGAATCGGAGTTGTGGAAGGCTTCCAAATCGTCCGAGCAAAACACAACCTCGCAGGAGAGGATTTGATCTTCTAAAAGTGAGTTTTAGCCCCAAAACTTTACTTTTCATTTTCCAAATGATATGAACGATTGGTGGGACTATCATACACTAATCCAAGTGTATAATATGTCCTTATAAAGTTATTTTATTGATGTAAAGGTTAGATACTAACCTAGAACAAATCTTGGAAAAACTAGGAAACGAGTTGACCGGGAAACACCCGTTCTAGGGGCTGTTTTCGTATCAACGATTAAGGGTTGAACTAGCACTTTGAGGAGGCTGTTTAACACTCATATTTGAGCAAGGAATCAGTTCCAAATCCACCTTGACCAAAGCTTTGACCATTGGACCAAGAAGGGAAAGTTTAAAGCTCAATTGAGGTGAGGATTGACATCTAATTGCTTACAACTTGTAGGTTAAGCATGAGATTACCTAAATGCTTAAATCATGATTTTTCATGGATTATGATGATTATATATTGATGAAATATTGATATAGTTGCCAAGGAATGAAATTTGAAATGATTTGAGAAGGTATGAATAATATGAGATTAAATGAGTATAAATGAACTATTTTGTGAAAATGGGCATTTTGCTCATGTATGAATTATGTGGATACATAAATGAATATTTGTGTATTGAGATTGAATACTTAAGTTGCTGCTACATAATTATAAATATGTAGAGAATTACAAATAATGAGAATAATGGTATGATAACAATAATCTTAATAGTATTGAAATACTAGTTAGTGATTATTGGAACTTGTTGATTAAATTGATCCTAGGGATTGGATTGTATGAAAGGTACTTGAATATAGTTCAAGTGTATATAATAACTTAGTTTGGAACTAAGGTTAAGTTATGGGAAGTCTTTAAGGATGACCCAAAGTAGTTTAATGATATGTCAATTCTAGGCATAGGGTTGCTTGAGAATTGGACCTTAATGCATGGTGATGTAATAGAGCCGAGCTCTAGAATGCATGTAAGGTGTAGACTTGGAGTCTATGTATTGTATAGCTAGAGCCGAGCTCTAGGACTTGCGTGGTGATGTAATAGAGCCGAGCTCTAGAACGCAAGGTAAGGAAATTGACCCGAGGTATATGAATTGTATGGTGATGTAGTAGAGCCGAGCTCTAGAATACAATGTCATGTACTAGGGTTGGACTCTAGGAGTTGTCGTGGCTTTTAGTCACGGGGTTGGGAATGGTGATTTCCAAATGAACATGGGCCCACGGGCCGGCTACTTGACTTTTATATAAAGTAAGTATATTTTTAAACGGGGTAACTTAGGGTTACAATCATAATATACTATCACCCTATTTGAGGGTCTTGTGTTTGAAATACTTGTTGTATATCTATTAGATGCCTGCCACACCAGCACTTTATAGCCCTATAGAGTGCTGACCCCTTCGGGGGCGTCCCACCACCATTTTTCAGGTTGAGGCTAGAGCTTGCTTCCTGTGCTCGTTGCTCGAGAGATCATCTAGGAGCGAAGACTTGGTTCGTGCTTCCTCCATTCGGATTTTAAACATTAATAAACATGCTCATGGATATTTTATTATAGAGCCTGCGTGCTCATGAATAGCCCTGTGTGGCCCTTTTGTTTTAAACAATGTTTTCCGCTGCTTTATGAATTACTTATTATGTTGTTTATGGATGACTTATGTGTGAATGATATTCATGACGCCTTGTATAATATGAATGTGTTGGACTGCGGTCGACTATTCGTATTGTACGGCGGGTTGTTGACGTGTCCGGGGAGGTCCGGGGCGTGACAGAGCGTCACTGATGGAGAGGTCATGTCGGAGAAGAAGGATAATGCGGGGGACGTCGTGAGCAGAGAAGGCAAGAGCAATGAAGAGAGAAGGAGAAGCAGAGAGAAAGCGCAGATAGATGGTAGATAGATCGTGTAGGAGAAGAAGAACGATGCAGAGCCGAAGGAGAGACGCAGATAGATGGCAGAAGTCTTGACTACGAACGGCAAACGAGAATGGGGATATTAGACTTGGGTCACTTTTTTGTCAAGTATAAAAGGGATCATATATTTGTCCATTCAAACTCCCCAACTAATATTGCTGCCATTCTTTCAATTTTAAAGTTTAAAAAGTTCAATTTGCAAATATTATAATGTAAAACAATGTTCTAAGTTAAATGATTTTGATTAAACGTGATGCAATGTTTTGAGTCTTTTGACAACGGATTAGTTATTTCCTTTCCACTTGTCAATCACATCAAAACCAAAAGAATTGATTACTCTATGTCTCTATCCCCAAGCATGGATGGCGCTGCATTTGTCATGAATTGATTATTATATGAAAGAAGCATAGATGTAGAGTACTTCCGTATCATTATGGACGGAAAACACACCGTTCATTCAAAACGTTGTTTGAATATGGACGGAAAACACACCGTTCTATATACGCCAGGATACTGCATACTCATATACTCCATATCAATATCTTTTTGGAAACTTCCATTTAGCTATTAAGTGCATTCAAAATCAATTTAGTATGATATTATTGATATGTAGCAGATTTTACCCCTGTCAAAAACTCTGAAGTCTGAAGGCTCTAACTCAAATCCCGGCATGCTCCTTAATAAAGACTTTACTCATGTAATCGTTTATAATTTTATATGCCCAAAGTGCAAGAGCCCATACCAAATATAAAAATAATGGGTGATTTTATTTGTTCATTAACCAAAGAAATGCATCTCTAGACACATTGAGCTTGTTTCAACTCTGAGTTTTACTAATACTATCTTGCAAACAATATAATTCAATATTCAAGAAAAGATAATCTATAAACACTTCGAATTGAAACAAAAATGATTGTGAGCATGAAACTATACATGCTGAGATATCCCTGGCAACCAATTCTTTCCACAAGATTATTGACACTTGTCTATTTCCTCAAGTTTGTAATGGAATCCACCCATTTGGAATTTTGGATTAATAGTCTTTAATGAGATAATTATAGAATGAAAACATGCTGCTAATATGAGGATGAAATTCAAATTGCCTGAGATAGGTTGCTCTGGAGACCAGAGATGTAACCTATGATTTATAGCCACTATATTCATGAAAATTAGGCGAAGGCGGCGATTCAAATGTTCCAGGCTCTGGCCTTCTGCTGCCATTTGTGCAGAACATGCCTTTCAGCCATATCAATGAAGATACGGTAGAGGAGTTTCAAAGTGGGATATTAAAGAGTAAACAAGTCACATGAAAAATAAGGCTGCGTTTTTAGCAATAATGTACAACTTTTTAAGCACAATATCACATTCTGTGCATTCATAAAGGCATTCATCTTAATAGTAGCATCAATATTAGCAGTCTAAGAGCAGCAAAATCCCAAGTTTAGTTTTCAAAAGTGCAAAAAAATATGCTACATATCATACATCAATCAGACGTGGCAATGTTCACAATTACCTCTTCATAGCATCAAGCATAAATCTGGCCTGCAGTGCTAACATATCTCCCAACTTCACGCAGCACTCAACCTTTTGTTCCCATAGCTTGATCCACATCTCCTCAAGCTCAGCGGCTTTGAAACTATCAATCAGAAACACATTTTTCTTCAACATATCCAATGTCTCCTGACCACTCTTTGGATAGTTTTTCTTGTTGAAAGATTTAAACAAGTAAGGGTATTTGTACTGAAAATCCCCTTCTTCATTCTTTGCTTCACCATGATTTGCTTCACCTTTTCCATCATTTACCTCATAGCAACCAGCCTCGCTGTATTTTTCCTCCGAGGCAGAATGGTTGTCGTTACCCATATCAGCAGCCTGTTTATATTTTTCTACATCAGTTTGCTCTTCTTTTTCCTCTGGAGCAGTCTTCTGTGGCTTTTTCTTTTCCATCTCATCAGTCTGGTTGTCTTTACCCTTACTGGCAGTGTGCTTATCTTTTTCAGAAACAGCAGTTTGGTCATCTTTTCCCTCTTGACCAGTCTTGTTTTTCTTTTTCTTTTTATTCTCATCTGTCTGGCTGTCTTTTTCCTTAGAGGCAGAATGACTGCCTTCAACCTTACCTGCAGTTTGCTTATCTTTTTCAACAGCAGCAGTTCGTTCATCTTTTCCCTCTGGAGCAGTTTTCCTCTTCTTTTTCTTCTTCTTATCGGAATGGCTGTCTTTCTCCTTAGGGGCAGAATGGTTGTGCTCAACCTTACCAGCAGTTTTCTCATCTTTTTCAACAGGAGCAGTGTGTTCATCTTTTTCCTCTGGATCAGGCTTGTGCTTCCTTTTCTTCTCATTCCCTTTGTCTGTAAGAGCAATCTTCTTCTTCTTCTTCTTCTTCTTTTCAGTCACTTCTTCAGATTCAACTGCATTCATGGAGTGGCTAATGACGCTTTCCTCAGCAAGCCTTTTTACCTTCCCATTGGCATTTTTTGCAATTGGTTTAGCAGCATCACTAGTACAATTGGCATTACTAGAAGTGCCCCAAATCATTTCAGAAAGTTGATAAAGCTTAGACTCGTGAGGGCTAGCAAAAGTAGGGACATCACCTTTCTTATAAAGGGTTAAGAAATCCTTTTTGAGCCTCCTAAGCTTATCTGTTAAGCTAGTCCTCGAAACAGAAATATTCCATTTATTTTTCATGAAGTCATAGAAGAAGCGAGGAGAACGACCCTTATTAGCCCCTCTTTGGGCTTCGTAGTGAATCTTTTCCGTGAGGATGGTAATCTCATCCTTCTCGCTCCACTTTCGTTGAGCCCCAGGCTTCTTTTTCTGGGAAACTTCCTTTTCGGCTTCCAAGGCACGCTTTCCGGATGGCCTTGAAGATAGTTGCTTCGAAGTAGTCTTGGAAGCAACACGGGACAGTAGGGCTAAGCCGGATGCGGGTGGTGGGGCCTGAGATTCCTCAGATTCGGAAGAAGATTGAGTTGTTTCTCCCTCGTCCTCTTCTTCAGTGCTGCAATCGGATTCCGCAGAGCACTCCTCAGATTCAAAAGACGATTCAGGTTTCTGATCAATTATTACTTCATGCTCGGACATCTTCTCGTCTTCATCAGACGTTGCGTAAGATTTTGCGTCTTCGTCCGAAGATGCTACAGGGCGAATTTTTTTAGGTTCAGGCGCCATGGTTTCAAACTTTCAATTTTTCAGAGAAGGAATAGGCGGAACCAAACTATATACTGTCCTCAATTTCTTTTCAACCACAACGTTGATTTTTTACTGAGGGTTCTAATTTATCTACTCAATTTATTAATGTATAACTTTTCTTAGAGAAGAATTTTTAGGAGCAAGGGAATGCATTTTATTTATGAATATGAATGTATAAAAATTGTTTCTTTTCAAAAAATATTGTATCCATTTCATTATAAAGTTTCATAATTTGTGTTTACATTCTTTTTACTAATAAAAAATTATATGTAATGATGGTCAAAAAGAGAATTTTGTGAAACCAGAAAAATAATATTATGAGAGAAATGAAAATGAATCTGAAAATTTGGATTGTATTATATGCAATTGAATGTGCATTAAATGAAACTAAAGTATACGATTGAAATTATATAAAATTGAAATGTGCACCACAAAGGGTACAGTTGACACTATATTATATGAAATTTGGTTGCATGATTTCGCGCGCTGAATTATGTAATAAATAGAAAAAGTAAGGTTGAAGTTACTTTTCTGACTATATTGACTGAAGTTACTGTAGAAAACCATTTTAGCTATTTTTTCATATAATTTTTTATTTTATTTATTAATAACAATTATTTTAAATATTTTTTTTTTCATGAATCGGCCAATACAGTCACTTCAGTCAGGATTTCATAAATTTCAGCAGAATCAACTAGGGATGGCAACGGGGCGGTTCGGGGTCGGGTATACCATTACTCGTACCCGCCCCGTTTGATAAAAATTTTCCCGAAACCGCCCCGTTACCCGTCGGGTATTTTTTACCCGCGAGTAACCGTTTTATTAAAAAATAATTTTTTTTTCTTCAAATTAGTATAGATCCTAAAATGATTACTAACTACTTATCATTGACTACCTAAATTTAAAAAAATCAAAATTAAATAGTACCACTGATAAAGTTTTTTAAAACATGACAAAAAGTTACAATCATTTGAATCTAATATTCACACGTCAACATCAAAAGATTAAGTCTTGTCTCGATAGTAAAATCTAAATATGAATCACTAAAACATTTAGATCCCGTTTGGTAGCACGAAAATCGGCTGTTTTGGCTGATTCTGCTGAAATTTATGAAGTTTTGGCTGAAGTGGCTGCATTGGCTGATTTTGCTGATTTAAGAAAAAAATTATTTTTAAAATATATTTTATTAATAAAATAAAGAAAAAATTATATGTAAAAATAGCTAAAATGGTTATCTACAGTAACTTCAGCCAATACAGCCAGGAAAGTAACCACAACCTTACTTTTTCTGCTTATTACACAATTCTGCGCGCAAAAGCAAAAGTTACGTGTTTGGTGAAAAAGCTGGCTGATAAGCCTGATAAGCCGAAAAACAGTATTACCAAACGGCATCTTAACTTCCAAACATTCAATAAGCATACCCCCACCAACATTCAACATCTAAATTAATTTAAGAACAATAATGTATACAAGTAGCATAATGAAAATGAGAAGTTTTTTCCCTAAAATACCACTAATGAAAAAGATATGAACATAAATGTGACTATAAGTTACCATGAGTAAGTTTTGTAATCACTACGACATAACATTTGAATAAAATTATAAACACTAACGTTACTAAAGTCGCATTTTTGTCCACAACTTTTATTTTGATTATAGATTTGGAAGTATTTCTAAAAAAGGCACTTTCAATACTATGTTTTAGAAAAAAAAAACATAATTTAAATTTTAAAAATTGATATAAATTAGAGCAACCAATCAAAATTAATCTAATCATCCAATACACCTTTACAAAATTATTATCAATTACATAAAGTAAAGCAAACTAGAGTAATGTTTCGCAATATTTTGACTTTACACTCATACGTGAGTTTTATGAAAGTTATTGGGTGAAAAATTAAGAGAGTCACAATGTGGAAATTGCGTAGAGAAAGTCACGAAAATCAATTAATCAATATGTGAAGAAAATAAATATTGTAGAAGTTTTTTTTGAAGGAATATTGTAGAAGTTAAGTTGAATATTGTTTCAAGGTACTAGATGGAATAAGTGTCATATACTAATGTACTAATATTCATATATACTTAATATATTAAATAATAAATACATAAACTATTAAAATATTTAAGTTAATTGTGTAGGTCGGGTAATGGTGCGGGTAACCGTATCCAAATTAAACGGGGCAGGTAACGGGGCGGGTAATGGGGCGGGTAGGTATAAACCCATAACCGCCCCATTACCCGTTTACATGAATCGAGTATTCCCCACCCCGTACCTGTTACCCAGTCAAAGCGGTTTTCCCCATTTTGACCGGTTCAGTTTGATGTGGGTATCCATCGGGTCGGGTTAAATTGTCATCCCTAGAATCAACCAATCCAGTCAATTTTAGTGTTACCAAACATGCTCTAGATGAAACTGAAATGTGCATTTGTGTTTTTTCTTTAAATTTTGGTTAAATAAGCAGAGGTAAAGCGGAGGTCTAGTTTATGTTGCATTTGCATTCTAGTATTGTGGGGTTTTGATAGGATTATTGTGTTGTACAACTCGGGTATGCCCCTTTTGTTGTGTAACATTTGTTCATATAGTTATAAATTTATAGTTTATCCAAAAAAAATTTGTGTTAGGTGAAACTATAATGTGACATTTCAATATATTTGATTCTGCACATTTCAGATTCACTTAATGCACATTTTAGTTTTACCTTGTATTCAACACATTTTACTTTTACCTAATGTATATTTCAGTTTCTCCAAATGCATAATTCAAGTATACGCTAATCGTATGTTTCATGGCAGGACATGGAAAATATAGCTATCCAAGTGTGTTCTATATTAACCCGGTAGTAAGTTTTATTAATGAATGCGTCTTGCTATTAATAACTATCCTCGATGAACTGCTTATACTCCTCAATGATTATCTGTAACTATCTTCCTCTCGAATACTCAATCGAGGAGTATATCCAGTTCATCGGGGATAGTTATTAATAACGAGACACGTTTATTAATAAAACTTACTACCGAGTTAATATAGAACACGCTTGGATAACTATATTTTCCATGTCCTGCCATGAAGCATATGATATGTAAGTTTGATTAGTGAAAATATTATAAATTGATGTGTATGATGTCCCAAGGACCCAAAAAAGTATTTTTGGATTAAGGACGTAAAAACCCGAGCGCTACCAAAAACCTGACTCGGATCAAATATAATGGGCTTTGTTCCGGTCCCTAATTTTCATAACCCGAGACCTTCCGGGTAATTTCTGGGTTTCGCAAACATCGACCCGGACCGGACCGACCCCACCCCTAGGAGTGCTCGGAGTGCGTTGAGGCCACCTTACTAGCTCGAATGACCAATATAGTGAATAGTGATGTTATTTTTATGATCATCATCCTCGTCGTTTTTTTAAAGAAATAGATTTAATTAACATTTATCAATTCATTTGCTAAAGCAGATACAATGAAAGAAGGAGGAGAATAAAACGAGTATTGTGAATCAGGCAAAGAACAAGCCACCCTAGCTAACAAATGAGCAGACTTATTCGCCGACAGCTTAACATGACTAAAAGAAATGCTCGAAAAAGAATTTGCCAATGCTCGAACATCAGGCAATAAGTAACAAATCATACATATTGTCATGATATTGTATTGCACTGTAAAAGTTGTTATATGTATGACAATACAGTGCAATACAATATCATGACAATATGTATGATTTGTTACTTATTGCCTAATGTTCTACACAATCATTTACTGCACAATCATTATAGTCAGACATGAATCTGAAAATGTTTGTTATTCTCTAATCTTTTACTACTTCTGCTTACTATTTATGACATTACTTGCATATGAAATGCTACATCTTAATTATAATATATGCAGAATGTTTGAGACAGTAGAACTAGTTGTGCACCATGGTGGCAGATTCAACTGTGAATCAAAGAAGATGTGTGTTGGAGGGGTAGTTCAGACTGTACCTGCAGATCCTGATGTTATAAGCTATCCCCACTTGAAGAAATTTTTAGAAGGTCAAAGCAATGGGTCCATCAAAGGTATTTTCTTCAAGAAGCCAAATGCCAATATGGAGTCCTTGCATGAGTTGTTTGATGATCAGACTGCACTGACGCTAATAGAATTAGCTAGAACCTGTGGACAGTGTGAGATCTTTGTAGTCCATGCAGAAGATGAGCTACACACCCAAACAGATGTTGTGGAAGCTGAAAGTGAATTTCATGATGCAACTGTTGAAGAGGATGACCAGAATCATGACACAGATGTTGGTAGTGATGCTCCAGGTGATGAAACTGATGTTGAGGAAGAACATCATAGTTGGGGTTCTGAGGAAGACACTGAGGATGAAGAAGAAGAGGGGCTACAAGATGTTGAAGTTCTGACCAATACTAACATACCAATCGGACATAATGTTCCTGAAATGGATAACATACCAAGTCCTAAGCATGGGGTTGAGAATGAGAGTGAAGATGATACTGCTGAATATGACTCATCTAACTCACCTAGCTTGCATTCAGAGGGAGAAGATGAAGCTGAGTCAAAGAGGGCAGGTTATGGGAATGGATCCTATAACCCAGAATCTGATCCTCCCCACTTTAAGGTGGGCATGTTGTTTGAAGATGGTAAGCAATTTAAAAGTGCTATGATTAGATATGCTGTATATCACAAAAGAGATATAGTGTTTGTTAAGAATGAACCCCTGAGAGTCAGACTGAAATGTGCAAACAATTGCCCTTTTGCCTCTACTAGGTAGTTGGGAAGATCACTTCAAGTGCTTTCAACTAAAAGTTTGGAATTCTGAGCATCTATGTAACTTGAAGTTCAAGCTTAGAATAGTAAGTCAGAATTGGATTGCTGAGACCTATGAGGAGAAGTTGACTGAGAATCCCTCCATGGGTAATGCAGAGCTAAAAAAATTGCTTAAGGATGAGAAAAAGTTGAATGTCTCTATTAGTATGGCAACTAGAGCTCTGAAATTAATGCAAGATAAAGCCCAGACTGCT